AGCTCTGGCACCAATTCCACCCCTTACACAGATATAACCACGTGTCTGGTCATACCAAACCCTCCCCCGCCCCCATTCAAAAACTTCAATGACTCCTTATTCCCTCCAGGATCAAATATAAAACTCCATGTTATGATTTTAATGCCATTCATAACCAGATCCCTTCCTACCTTTCCAATGTTCTTATTCCCCTATACACTCTTCAGTCCAGTGACACTGGCCCTCTTCTATTCCTTGCACACAACAATCTATCTCTTTTACATTCATATACTTTTGCTGGTTATGCTTGGCATTCTCTTCTTCCTCATTTCTGTCTCCTGGTTTCCTACCTTCTGCAAGAATAATTTCCTGGTTCTTCTTAATTTCTTAATCTGCCACCCCTCTGAAATGCTCTCCAATTTATCCTGTACGTACCTTGAATGTATATTGTTGTTTTCATGTTTTCTCCATTATACTACGAGGTCCTTGAAAACAAAAACCTTTTTTTCCCCCTTTTTTTGTATTCCCTGCACTTTGTACAGTTCCTAGAAGTACTATAACCAGTTGACTGGCCTGTTCTGTCACCAGATCACTCTCCTTATGGCCTTCAGACTCCTTCAGATGTGAGATATCCTCTCTAATAGTTTTTACCTCTTGAAAAACAAGTACCAGAAGTTTTTCTGGACCTACCTCTTGTTTTCTTGTCCTTTTCTCTTTACTTTTCTCCTGGGTCATTTCTTTCCCTGGAAAGGCAGAGGGATTGTATTCTTAGCTGTGCTCTTCCCATTCTTCTCTTGCTCTGCCCTAATATACTCAGCTGTCCCCTTAGGGTTGAGAAGACAGTTTTCCCAGTCCTGCCAGTGGTATGATTATTCCTATACTGTCCATAATTCCAGGGTATGATACCAAATGCTCATAGCAAGTCTTCCCAGCATCTGAAGCATTTTGTCCTCCCTACTATTCCCCTCTTTGAACAAAGAGGGCATTATGTCAGGGTCCTGTCAACTATATCAAATGCCAGGGGCAAGTTAATAAATCTAATATCCTGGCACAATAAGCATTCAGTTAAGTCCAATGCATTTATTCCTTTACCCAGAGAATTGGTGTTAAGTGTCCAATTCTTTGTGACCGTGTTTGGAGTTTTCTTGGCAAAGATACTGCAGTGGTTTGCTATTTCCTTCTTCAGCTCATTTTACAGATGAGGAACCTGGGCAAACAGATAGTAAGTGTCTGAGGCTGGATTTGAACTCAGATCTTCCTGACTCCAGGGCCGTCACTCTATCTACCACACCACCTACCTTTCCCTTACTCAAAGAATAAAATATATTAAAGAATATATGGCTGCATGAAGCTTTTTGTGTTTTCCTTTCCTCCATAAAGGCATACTTGTGACCGCAGGGTGTGATTTCATAGTGTTCTGTCTACTTCAAGCTGGAGTGCCTTTATATCTGAGAACCTATTTTCTCCTACTCCCCAACATGGCCACTGATTAAGTCCAGCCCTTCAGGTATGTGTATCTTGCCTCACTGCTCATCTTCTGTGACTAGAGAGAGGTGATATCATGCCACTTCTCTCTCTTTCTCTGGATAAGGGTTCTATCTACATCCTAGCTCTGAATTATTGTCATTTGTTATTCTACAGATTATGTTACTCTCCTACTCAATAAACTCAAATAGTTCCCTATAGCCTTTAAGATAAAATATGAATTCTTCTGTTAGGCTTTTAAAGCCTTTTACAACCTCTACCCATCCTATCTATCTAACCTTGGTGTATAATACTCTTCTTTCTTGCACTCTACAGTTTGCCAGACTGCCCTTTGAGGCAGCTAGTGGCACAGTGGATAAAGCACTGAGCCTGGAGTCAGGAAGACCTTATTTCAAAATTCAATCTCAGTCACTTACTAGTTGTGTGACCCTGAGAAAGTCACTTAACCTTTCTCCCTCAGTTTCTTCAACTGTAAAATGGAGATACCAATAGCACCTCCCTCACAGACTTGTGCAGTTCAAATGAGATAATATTTGTAAAGCTCTTAGTATGGTTACTGGCACATAGTAAGCCCTTGTTTCCTTCCTTTGTATTCCTCACATATGACACCATGCTTTTTCAGAGGCCAAATTCTACACTTGGAATGCACTCCCTCCTTACCTTCAGCTCTTTAAATCCCTTGTTTTCTTAAAAACTCAGCTCAAACGCTACCATGAAGCTTTGCCTGATCTCCAGAACTGCTAGTGCCTTCCCTATAACAATTAGTTTATATGTTTTGTATATTCACCTGTTGTCTCCCCTGAAAGAATATAAGCTCCCTGAAGGAAATGAAAATTTTAATTTTTGTCTTTGTATCCCCACATGTGTGAGGTGCAACACCATGTTCTACTGTTGTTTGCCCTTCATTCTCAAAGAGGACCATGACATCAGGGAGGTGATGCCACAACATGCAAGTGAACTGGATTTAAGTTAGGGAGAGCAGTGTAAAGTCACCAGCCTTACTTTCTCCTCTGCAGCCATCTGGGACAAGTGGTAAGATATAGAACAGGATGACTGGAGATGGCCCTGGACGCAGTGGGAGACCTTGGCCTTTTTAAGCTATGGTCTTTAACAGATCCCAGTTTGACTGAAGCAATGCTCATTTAGTGATTAAGGCTTGGTAAGGACAGAGGCAAAAGATGGCCTAGTTTGACTTCCCGAAAGGATCAGTCTGGGAGGGAAAGAAACCACAGAGCTTCTGGCCAGAACAAAAACAATTGCTATTTACACTCACTCTAAGCCATCAAAACCCAAACAATGAGCAAGTGAGGCTCGGGCTGGGATCTTGCTGCTTAATAAAATGCTTGTTGACTGACTGGTTTTGTTTCGGTCTGAGAGGTTGAGACCCCTCAAAGACCGGAGTACAGGACAGGCTTGTCTGGAATGAATTCACAGACTCAAACACTCTTTAAGTCAAGTTGGCAAAGTTTTATTGTTATACTATATACCAGGCAGGGATTCTTAAGGAACTTTTGAGAGACTGAGGATGGTGCTGGGGTTTATATGGAAAAGGGCATGGGAAAGGAATGCCAGGGATACTAATTAGGTAATCCAAAGGTCCAGGTGTCTTTGTGAACTATGGATGGGAAAGTACAGGGAGTATACCAGACACTGAGGGAGTCGTCGGAGGCATGGACCTTGTGGATCTGGTGGGAGGAAGAGTCCTTGGGTCAGCCAGGGACAAAAGTTCTTGGGCCAGGCAACTCTCTCTCTGTTCTGATTAGAGAATGCATTCTGCAACAAGAAAAAATTTTCTCACAGGACAGGAGCTTACTAAAATTGGGAGGCTTCCAGAGAAATGATCTTAGGGCTGGGGCCTGAGCAGCCCATCACTCTCTCACCCAGCTTTGTGTAACTGCACCAGGGAGAGTGATAAGTGGCTTGCTGGGGCCCACTCATGAGTAATTGCTAGACACAGTGTCCTTGGGCTGGGGGAAACTGCCAGGGATAGTGTTTCTGAGGCTAGGGAGAAATATGGTCTTGGAGTACAGGTCCCAGTACAAGCACTCAAACACCCCATCAGTTCTATTCAGGAAAGACAATAATGGGTTTAAAGGTAGACAGAACCATAACAGCCTTAGGTTATCTCATTTGAGTCTATTTTATATACTTGTAATACATGAATAATCCATTGAGTGTGGAAATGAATCAAAAGCTTTGCAATAATCAGTAAAGTTGGTATAAATATTATATAGCCCTTCTAAGTGGCTTGCTCAATAATTACTGAATCAATAATGACTTGTTCTTTAAAAACTCTTTTCTTCCTTGGCCAGTATACTGTCTTTTTCTGTTTACAAAATCTGGAGGTGATTCAAGATATGAATACATAGAATACATAAACATGGATATGGCCTACATTCAGAGGGATCATTCATGTTCTTTTGGTAATTAGTATTTGATGCCTTTCATTAACCAAGTTGGATCAAATTTGCCTTCAAGAAGCTGGTAAAGTGTATTGATAATAATTTATGCATTACTGTGAAGTGCCAGTAATTATGAACCTTATCTATCTTGCAGCTCTCCAGCTTTGTTTTCTAGTTGTTATTTTTTTAAATCACCTTCCTTGATATAGCAACATTAAGTATACTACCTACTTATAATTACTGTTTGAACCTGTAACTAGACTAAGTTCCAGGAACAATAACTCTTATTTTATCTCAACAATCTGTCTCTTTTAGAACCTGATTCTGGGGCTCTGGACACTGAGGAACTTAAATGTTTGTTGAACAAATGACTGCATAATGACTATGAGGATCTCAGCTTATATTTGTATGGTGTTTTACTATTTTCAAAAAGATTTTATACACATGACCTTGACAAAACAGAGTTAGAGGAGAATTGTGATTTGCCCAAGGCCACACAGCTTGAAGGTAACTACAGTGTGAATTCTAACATTCCTTCTATAACACGTTTTATTAAAATGGAATTCTTGTTCAGAAGAAAGAGGGATCTGAAGGCACCACTACCATCCAGGGCAATGTCACCCCACCCCACCCCCTCTCCCTTGCCCTCGCGAAGAATAAAACGGATCCTTCTCTAGAGAACGAAGGTGAGGAACTCCTTGAGAGACCATCTTAACTACAACACATTAGCTTCTTTCACTACTACTCAGCTCCCATTTCCAGGGCTTCCCGTCTAATTCCTGCAAAGTCGGCAAAGCCATTTTGGAATCGGGCAAAGTGTCCGATCCACTGGCTTCTTGGGCGGGCAAAGAGTCTCTGACAGTTGAAAGGGCACCCTTTTTCTGTTCTGCTTACTGAAACTCCAGCCAGGTGAAAGTTATTTTTTTTTCCTGTAAATTGTTTTGTTTTGTCGGCCTTGGCATTCCTTCTATGCCTTGGATCTGTAAGCCAATTTTTGCCAGAATGCAAGATGGCCACCACCGCTTCGTCCGCCCTCTGTTCCTCTTTTGAAACGGAAGTGGACCCTGTGGTCCGCTCTATGGTACCTCCCCGCCCACCCCCACCCCGACGCATAAATCCGGAAGTACCCTTCCCGCCCCGACCTCATTCAAACGACTGCTCTCCTGTGGTTCCTGGTGCCAGTTCCTCTGCCGCCGTCTTCAACTAGGTAGGCGCGTTCTCCACCCACCTTCTCTGCCGCTCTCCCTGCCATCTTGGGGTGGTAGGACTTACCGCATTCATTTTGACAGAGTAATAGGGAAGGCGTGAATGAGTGAATACACACACTTGCATCTTCCTCTTTGCTGCCCTCCCTCCCCAGTAGCCGGAGGACGCTGGAGAAAAGCGAAAAGAAAGGAAGAGCTCTGGTTGTCAGTGATGCAGGGAGCTGCGGGGGCTTGGGCTTTCTCTTTCTGCTGGATGCTGGGGACAGGATTCCTCCCTCCCCAACCCCCAAGCACCTTAGGAACCCTTGCTGGTTGGTGGGGGTAATCCAGGTGACCGTGAGATCGTAGCTTTAAAACTGGAAGAGCCATCGAATCCCACCCTGTCATTTTGCAGAGGAGGAGACTGAGGCTCAGAGGTAGAGATTGGCCAAGGACCACACAGGTAGTGTCACAGCCGTGATGTGTCACACATAAGCTTTTTGTAATTTTCCTTCTTTCTCGGTGTCAAGGCTACTCCCCCCCCCCCACATCCCCTAATTCTCCCAAGAAATAAGTACATATCCAAGCTCTATTAGCTCAGAAGGTTAGCAGAAGTGGTGTCACATTAAACAAAAATCTGCCTTGGTTCCGACCACATAGCTCACAGGAACCAGAGTTTTGAATCAGGGAAGCTCTGCTCAATTCAGAATAGAAAAATTTCCCTTAAATCCATGACTTTTTCCACGATACTACTCTTTTTGACATCTATTGTGCTAATAAATACAGTGTCAGTTATTAACTGTGATGGATGAGTTAACAAGTATGGCTGAGTAAGTAACCTCATAATTCTGTAGAAATAAAAGCAGCCTTAAAGGTTCTCTTCAAATGAGATGTCTTCCAAATATATCTTAAAATCACACCAGATTCAGTGACAGATGCAAGCTGAGTTTCAGCATCAAGCCGGGCATAAAACACAGACGTATACTCACCTAAAGAGTTCACTACTGTCATGAAGGATACCTACACAGAATGCAAATAGAAGCTGTTCCTTATCATCCATAAAGTTCTCCAAATGTTCCTACTTTCTTTTTTTTCTTTTTCACTTTACTGTTTATTGAAAACATTACAATTCTCCCTTCTTTCCACCCCTCTTCCACCCACTGAGAAAGTAAGCAATATGTTCATGTGAGCTCATACAAAACATTTCCATATTAGCCATATCTTTTTAAAAAGCAAGAAAATAAAGTAAGAAAATTATAAAAATTCTCCTGCTTTCATATGACATTGTACTAATTCTTTTGAGCCCACAAAGACCTGTGTCCTTTCATTTTTAGCACTTCTGAGAAAGGTGCTTTTGAGTGAGTTTCTTCCAGAATTTTGAAGTTATAGAGGAAAAGAAGAACTCACCTCATTTGTTTAATGAACATTTGGGCAAACATCCAAAATTTTGTGATTATTTTTCATAAGTGTCCACATAAATTCTCTGATGCTAATTCTCACTCTTTTTAAACTTACTGCAGTATGGTTTGTGACTGTTAATCAACTGAAACCTCTCTCTCTACACTTAAATGGTTTGCCATTTAAAAACTTCTCTGTCCACAGTTACTAGTGGTTTGCCAATTCATGCTTTGTTGTTTGTATCTCCAATGGCCCAGCATTGTGTGTTATTTATTAATTGATTACCTCTTAACTGTGGATGTCCTCCAAGGCACAGTCCTATAGCATTTTGTATTTGATGCTGGAAACAATAGGGAGTCCCTAGAGTTTATTGAGTGACATGGTCAGATCTGAACTTTAGGAAAATCATTGATGGCTAGATGGAGGATGGATTGGAGTAGAGAGAGACTTGAGACAGGAGACCCATCATCAGGCTCTTGAAATAGTCCAGGCATGAAATGATGAGGGCCTGCATCAGAATGGTGGCAGTGTCAGAGAAGATAGGGGCATATCCGAGAGATATTACAAAGGTGAAATTGATAGGCCTTGGCAACAGCTGGAGTGTGAGAGGTAAGAGATAGTGGTGGCAAGAGTGAAGAATAACTCCTAAGTTGTGAGCTTGATGGATTGGGAGGATGGTATTACCCTCTATCGTAATAGGGAAGGCGGGGGTGGTAGTGGTGGTGGAAGGTTTAGGGAAAAAGATAATGAGTTCTATTATGGACATGTTTAGTTTAAGACGTCTATTGGAGGTCCAGTTTGAGATGTCTGAAAGGCAGTTGGAGATGAGTTTGGAGGTCAGCTTAGAGTTTTGGGCAGAATAGGTAGATTTGAGAGTCATTGGCATTATGGTCATTAAATCCATTGGCGCTAATGACACAGAAGGCCCAGGACAGAATCCTGAGGAACACTTGTATTTAGAGGAAGTGATCTGGATGAGGATCTAGCAAAAGGGACTGAGAGGGAGTGGTCATATAGATAAGAGGAGAACCAGGACATGTGTCTGTGTCCCAAAAATCTAGAGAGAAGAGAGTATCAAGGAGGAGAGAGTGATCGACAATGTCAGCTAGGTGGCCAAGTGAAATTGGCCTGGAATCAGGAAAACCTGAGTTCATATCCAGCTTCAGACACTTATTAGCTATGTGATTCTGGGCAAGTCACTTTAACTTCTGTCTGGCTCAGTTTCCTCATGTGTAAAATGGGGGTAATAATAATATATATTATAATAAAAAAATAATAATAATCTCCTAGTCTGTTGTGAAGATCAAAAGAAATAATAATTGTAAAGCACTTAGCACAGTGTCTGGCACATAGTAAGCACTATGTAAATGTTAGCTACTATGATCATCGTTATTATTAAAGGCTTCAGAGAGGTCAAGGAGAATGAGGATTGAGAAAACTAAGAGATTATTGGTAACTTTGGAAAGAGCAGTTTGTTTTTTTATTTTTTTTCTCTGCAAGGAATACAGCTTTATTAAGTGAAAAAGTGAATTAATTATACATTGACCCTGTCTTCAAATAATTTGTAGTGTAAGATGACAGTTATATAGTGGCTCCTCTTTTCCATATAATGGCTTCCTCTTTAGTTGCACAACCAGGAGCACATAAAAAAAATGGTGCAGCTTAGAGGACTAACAGGGAAATCATCGAGGTCATTATATCAATAATCAGCCTGCTCTTCTCCCACTCAATATTTATCTTTCTAATATAAATTTATAAGATACTCATAAGTTAGGTAGGTCTACCTAAAAAGTGCCATTTCATTGCAAAATAATGTAACCATTACAGCAAGGAGCACAATTTCAAGGATGCATACCTCACTTCCAGTTTTCTACATCTGAATTAGACTTTATTTTATGAATAACATTAATATTCAGATCTTGAACCAGAGTTAAACTCTTTATCTGTTCATATGTGATGTCTTCATATTTTGATGTTTAGTATCACTACAGTTCTTCACATGAACATTTACAAATATTAATATATCTAGAAAGCAATTGACCATCAATAAAATTTAACAGCAGTTTTGGAGAACCTGCTGTATTAAAGTCACTGAGTGAATTACTAAGGACAGAAACAGCAACTAAGATGATGGAGCAGAGGAACCACTCAACTGAGCTTTCACAGCAGACAGTGGAAAAATGAGCAAACAACAAAGAAAAACCTGACCACAAAAGAATCGATGTGGTGACAGGGAATATAAACACACACATGCAGAAGAAGGTAATGAAGTCAAAACAGGTGCAAGCAAAGCTTCAGTTTTCCCAGCAGATTTTGTTAAACAGTGATTTCTCATCCCAGAAGCTGGAGTCTCTGGGTTTATCAAATAATAGATTAGTATAGTCATTGACTGTTGTGTCTTGCATACCTAAACTATTCCACTTCTGACAGTTGATGCTTTATAATACAATTTAAGATCTAGTTCAGCTAGGCCACCTTCCCTTGCATTTCTTTTCATTAGTTCCCTTGATATTCTGGACCTGTTGTTCTCCTAGATGACTTTTGTTATTGTTTTTTCTAGCTCTATAAAATAATTTTTGGTAGTTTGGTATGGTGCTGAGTAAATAAATTAACTTAGGTAGAATTGTCATTTTTATTATATTAGCTTGGCCTACCCATGAGCAACTGATATTTTTCTTTTCTTTTTTTTTTTAGGCAGTTGGGGTTGAGTGACTTGCCAAGGGTCACACAGCTAGTAAGTGTCAAGTGTTTGGTCTGAGGTCACATTTGAACTCAGGTCCTCCTGACTTCAGGGCTAGTGCTGTATCCACTGTACTATCTTGGAGTTTCTGTGGAATGATAAGGCTGGAAGCCAGATTATAAGAGATTAAGGAGAGGAGAAATTGGAGGCACCTATTGCAGATGCCTTTTCAAGGAGTTTAGCTATAAAGAGTGGAAGAGATAAAAGATGGAAGGGTCAAGTAAGGGTTTTCTCTCTCTCTCTCTCTCTCTCTCTCTCTCTCTCTCTCTCTCTCTCTCTCTCTCTTTCTCTCTCTCTCTCTTTTTCTCTCTCTCTCTGTCTCTCTGTTTGCTAAGCAGTGGGGTTAAGTGACTTGCCCAGGGTCACACGCTAGTAAGTGTCAAGTGTTTGTTCTGAGGCCAGATTTGAACTCGGGCCTCCTGATTCCAAGACTGGTGCTCTATCCACTGTGCCACCTAGCTGCCCCACAAGTAAGGGTTTTTTGAAGATGGGGGAGATAAGGGCATGTTTATAGGCAGTAGTGAATTAGCCAGTAGACAGGGAGAGATTAAGAATAAATGAAAGAGTGGGGATGGCAGAAGGGGAAGTCTGTTGGAGAAGATGAGATGGAATGAGATCACTTAACAAGTAGCCTTGGTAAGGAGTAAGTCACTCTATCATGTGATACAGGGGTGAAGGAGGAGAAAGTGGCAGAAGGCATCAGAGTGATAGGAGATGAGGAAGACAGAGTTCACAGCAAATGGCCTTAATTTTTTTTTTTTGTTAAATGATGAAGCAAAGATCTCAGCTGAGGGGAGTAGAGGAGGGTAGTGGTGGTGGTATTAGAAGTTTGAAGAGGGATGAAAAAGGTTTGGAAGAGGTGTTGTGGAGAGTGAGATGATGAGTTGATAAGCAAGGTGTAGTAGATTTGCCTAGCAGCAGTGAGGGCCCAGATGAGGTTGTATATCATAAATTTGTAGTAAAACCATTCAGAATGATTGTGTGATTTCTCCATCTTTGTTCAGCTGCACATGTCTAGGAGTGAAGGTGGTGAATCATGGGAGTGGTCCAAGGCTTGATAGGGCATAATTAGTGATATGATAAGGGGACTGGGGATCCAAGAGAGGATAGTGTAGAGTTGAATTAGTTAGTCAAGAAGGGGAAAAGAGGATAGTGTGGCTAGTGTAGGGGAAATGGCCTGGGAGATAATTGAGGGGTCAAGGAATTGTCTTCTAGATTTGCAACCTAGGCATCTTCCTATACTGTACTCTTCTCTCAATTACTTCACAGCAATTGCCAAATCTGTTTTTTCTGCCTTCACAGTCTCTTTTGTATATATCCCCTTTTCTCTACTTTCATAGCTACCTTGTTAGTTCAGGCCCTCATTACCTTTCATAGTAGCCTAATTGGTTTCTACTTCAAATCTTGCCCCACTCTAATCTATCTTCCACATAATTGCCAGTGATTTTCCTAAAGTGTTAGTTTGACCATTTCACTCCCATGTAGCTCCCTGTGAGAAAAGCCAAAAGTATATAGACTACTGAATTTAAATAGAAGCAGAAATTTCTTCTCTTCACATAAAGTACCTAATATACCTTCCATGTCACCAGTCTCCTGGGTAGTTGAATTTTGATCACTCTTTTCATTCGGTCATCTCTGGAGGAAAGTCATTTTGCAAAGCCAGTAATTCTTTTTGCATTGACACTGTGATGGAATCGTACACATTTCCCTTTTTGGTCTTTAGAAAATGCATCTATAATACACATACACACACACTCACGCGCACTAAAATTCTTGCTTCATCTGTTCCAGAAATTCTAGTTGAATTTTTGTCCATGCTTTGTTTTTCTTTGAGGCTTTCCTTATAGAGTGATAGATTTTGGAGTCTTTTTCCTCTTCTGTGTTTGTGTCTTAAGTGTCTCTGTCATTTTAGAAGCTCTTTATAGTGGGCTTCTTTTTTTTTTCTTTGAACATCCTTCCAGCTTATTTTCTGATTTCAGACTTAATGTCAGGGCTGGTCTCTCTCACACTTTTGGAGGAAAGGTTTGAGCTATTCCTGTAGGCTTCTTTCTTGGGATATTGAGTGTTATATTATTTTAGGATCTCAGGGAGATGTTGGGGACCTGCAAGCTTCCAATGACCTCTAAGTATCAGGATCCAAGGCCAGGTCTTACTGCTGCCTCTCCTGTTTTGAGCTCTGCAAGTTCTTGATCTGGTTTTGAGGTCTGTACAAGAATAGACTGCTGTTGGACTCAGTCCCTATCAGCCTGCTCTGTTAATTAAGAGTGGCAGAATTGTCAGTTCCCTTTTGTTTTGATATTCCTACCCTGGTTATTCCTCTGCATGCTGGGCTAGAGACCCTGTTCTGTATGAGCCACATTACTGCTGGTTTTTGAACATCCTTCTTTCTTGATATGCCATGCAGGGACTCCTTACTCAGGAATGCCATCCTTGTGTACAAATCTGTGATCTGAAACTCGGTAATAGGGGACAAAGCTGCTAGTTCACACCTGTTCCCGTTGCAGTGCCTTGGTCTGGGACCTCCTTTTGCCCTAGTACACAGCTTCCACCTTAGTGCTAGATTGTAGTACTACTGGCCTGGCCCTATCCCCTGTCTGTCAACTGTCAGTAGACCCTCTTGTTTGTTTCCCTTTGCCAATGTGAGCTGGACAGATAACTTGCTATAATTTTTTCTGTTTTTTCTTTTTTGCCATCAGGATTTGATCTGGTGCATTTTCTAGATCTGTTAAAAGGAGTTTTGTAGAGAGCAGTTCTGCAACACTGGTTCCTACAACTCTGCCATCTTGGCTTTGCATCTTGATTACTTGTTCTTTGTTGAAGAGGGCCAAAATGATTATCCTGTAGTTTAAGGGCTGTGGGCAGAGATTCTGGGCCCCCAGGAACAAAGTTCTGCAGGCTTCAGGTACCCCTGGAGTATCTTTGGTCAGAAGGCTAGTAGGCTTCTAGCCTACTGATCTGTGTTCGCACTGCCTTCCCTGACAGTGTCCCTTTCCTAGTGCTCACAGGGTTTTGATTGACTTTTTGCTCTGGACAAAGGTACTTTCTATGTTTCTTTTTTAGATTTCTTAACCATTACTCAATCTGGGGCCCTTTTTAGAGCATTGCTAGATTAATATGTGGGACAGATGGGTTTCTCTTTGACCTTCCATGTTGCCATCTTAGTTGGAAGTCTACAAAGCTTTGATGGGTTGTATCTTGAATGGACCCAATATTTTTATATGGACCCTCTAGTGCAATAGAAAGAATGCTTGATTTCTAGTCAGAAAACCAGGTTCAAATTTTAACTCTGCCACTTTTTACACGTACAGCCTTGTGTAAGTGACTTAAACAGCCGTACACCTATTTCCTCAACTGCAAAATGAAGGGATGTGGAGTACATAACTTCTCAGTTTCCTTCCCACTCTGAATTTATTATCTGTTGATATCTTTAAGATATCTTTTTCTTCTTGTCTTATAGGAGAGGGTCTGAGGGAATATTGAGGCAAGGGGTGAAGTCATTGTGATATCTCCTAGACTTTTAGAACATTAGAACTGAAAGTACCTTAGAGATTAGTCCAACTCCTTCATTTTACAATTAAAGAAACTGGAGCAGAGGTTGTTTGACTTGTCCAAAGTCATAGCTTGCTGTCAGCTTTCCTGGGATTAGGACCCAGGTCTTCTTAGTCCTAGTGGTGTTTTGCTGCATTCTTCATTAGTCTCTAATAATAATGCCTAATAGAGTACCTAAAAAAGCAATTGAAGAGCACTTAACCAGAATGACTAAATGTTTCTTTGATTATTTGGATCTTTTTTTGATTATTTGATCAATTATTTGGATCAGTAATGATTATTTGGATCATTTCCATCCAATTCTGTGTTCTTCTCTACCAGTCTTTTCTCACCTTGGGAGCAGTTCCAGAAGCCAGGCATGTATATGCGGGTAGAGACCCGAACTAGCTCCCTTCTCCATCTGAAGAGGTCTCCTGGTATCCGATCCTGGTCTCTTCTTGTAGGTAAGCACAGTATACCTGGCTCTGAAATGGAAATGCCTTTTCTTCTTCTTCTACCTATTTTCCTTTTCACTACTCACACCTTCCCTCACAAATGGGAAGGAGTTATTTGTTCAGAGCTGTTGCTTCCTAGCTTCTATTTGTAAGCTCTATGGGGGGAGGGAACAGAATCATCTGATGTTAATCTTCTGGTGGGTGACTAGAGACAATCTGGGGCATTATTTCTAACTAAAGTTTTTTATTTTTCTTATTTCAGGGATCTTGTCCATTGGCTTGGCAGCTGCATACTACAGTGGAGGTACAGTGGCCCTGTTGCTGCTTGTTAAGGATTTATTTTCCTTTTTTTTTTTTACTTTCTATTGTCTTAATTTTTCACTGATGTTCTTCTAGCATTTTTATCTTTATCTATGCTGACCTCTTCTGCTTCTTCATTTCCTTAAGGTTGCATTGATAATCAGATCATTAGTCCAGTCATCAAGTTTTTATTGAGCACCTTCTGGGCAGGCTTTCCCAGTCCCTGACTCTTCAACCTTCAGTTGTATATTTGTCATGTCAAACTCAAGTAGAAATGGAGGCCATTGATCTGTATATGAGGCTGCAAATTCACTTAGTTTTAAAATGTAATATTATCTTTTTTTCATGTTTTTATTTGTTTTGTTAAGTATTTCTTACTTACATTTTGATTTGTCATGTCACACCTGGGAGTGTTGTGGGCCTGTGAATCTGTGAGCTGCATGTTTGTCACTTCTGTTGTACATCATCAAGAATATGACTAACTTTGCTCACCACATTGTATTTTGTTTCTATTAATAATTGTGTGACATCCATTGGTATGGAGATGTTTAAAGATGAATTTTAATTTATCCAGGAGGGATTTAATGAATTTATATGTTTTGATGCCCTTTTTACCCTCTCGACCCACATTAGAATTAAGATTAGAAGTCTAGTGTTCTTTTTCTGGCTGGAAATTGGCCTACATGTGATATAATTCTATTTTGGTATGCCCTGAGTCTCTTCTTTCCTTGGAGTTGCCCACTTATCTTCACAAGAAACCTGAGTCTCAGACTGTAAGGGCATTTCTGTTCATAAAATCATAGATTCTTAGCGGTAGAAGGGACCTTAGATATCATCTAATTCAAACCACTCATCCTACACAGAAAGAAATAAGGCCTAGACAGGGGAATTGACTTGTTCAGTATTACACATTAGCAGTGCCAGATCCATGATCTTGTCTCTTGGTACATTGTTTTTTGCACCCTACTATATACCTAAACATGGAACTGGACATGTATGAGACTAAATAATTACCCATTTTTCTTTTGGTTTTAAGTAATGAGTTCAGCGCTTTAGGTTCCAGGATTCTTAGAAATCCTCTAAGCTCATCCAGATGTTAAAAGGAAGTACTAATTTGTCTCCAATTTACAAAGTAGCTTGTCTGCAGGCCATGCTCTGGGTATGTTAGGAATAGGACTTAAAGACTAATGTCTTTAAGATCTACAGAGAATTTTTCCTCCCTCTCTCCTCCCCTTCCCCCCTCCCTCTTCTCCTCTTCCCCCATTAACTGTAATTGCTACTGCTGTTTAGGAAGGTACCACAATGGTAACCACCCCATGGAGTGGGTGAGAGGAAACTTCTATGACTTTCTGGGCTTGTTTGCTTTCAGTTCATTGTTGGCTTCTCATTTTTGCCATTCATAGCTGTTTACTCTGGGTATTTGCTTTCTAGATAATCTAGGCTGGAAATTCTTCTATGTCACAGGGTGTCTATTTGTGGCGGTGCAGAACTTAGAGGACTGGGAGGTAAGGGCTAAAGTAAACAGAGGTGGTTGATGGAAGAATTGGGTGGGAGGCTCCCCAGGGCAGGAGAAAGGCCAAGTACTCTGTGTGGATTAAGGGGGAAGGTCATTACTGACTGAAGTACATCATGAAAGATTTCATGAAAGAGGTGGTGTTTGAGTTGGGCATTTTAAAAGTTGGGTAGTAATTTATTGGAGGAAGAGGGGAAGGGAGGGCAGTCCAGGATAAAGACACAGAATATAAAAATGCAGTGAGCATTAGGGCACTAGAGAGTAGCCTTGTTTGGCTAGAGCAGTCTGTGGAGGAAATATGCTTGAGGGTCCTGTAACTTCTTAAGAATCCTCCATCATTGTAATTGTTTTTAGTGGCAGTTAGGATTAGAGGATGCCCCTTAACAAATCTGGGACTATGAGAATCTGTATGGTGCTGTTGCACAGCTTTTACTCTAACCTAAGAATAGGTTTCAATAATGATCAAACTCTGTGCCCGAAGACATTTCTCCCATGTCTCAAGGAAAGGTGCTCCTTTTGAGGTATCAGGTCATTATGCCTCCTAGCACCACCAGTCAACTTCTGCTTATTTTCCTCAGAGTTCTTTTTACTTGTGTTAGAGCATGATGCTTGCCTTCTTCCTAAGGGAAGGGTGGATGAAGTATTAAGAGAGAGCTAGGGCAAGGGCTGAATATTCTCTCTCAAATCATTAAACCTGAGAGCTGCAGTTCTGTCCTTATCTTCTCTGCTAAAATCCACATTGCTCTGTGATATCTTGGTAGTTTCTGTTGTTTCTGCAACAGGGATGATTACTCTGGCTTTGGCTCCTTTTTCAGTCCCCAAATTAAGGGAATCAGACTTGTAGGAGAATGTTTGGCTTTGTTAAGTCAAGGTGTTGGGATTTGTCTGGGATGGGTGGATGAAGGATATTTTTCAATTTCTTTCCCTTATTATTCCCCTCTGAGAAATGTGTTTGCTTTTAGAATAGAAAATAATATCTGACATCAGGAAATCTACAGTGAAATTGAAGGATTAGGGAGATAGTATAGGACTGGGAACTGTTAGTCATAATCATTAAGTAGTAGGGGGACAGTTTTATTTCTTTTCTGGAGGTTTGAGTGAAGTTAGTGTGTTTGTTGAACTCAAGACCTCAAGGTCTTTTTCTATTTTTCCAGGAAGCCCTATTTGACAAGACTACTGGGAAAGTAATCTTGAAAACATTTAACCTCTACAAGAAAATACTGACAGCTTCTAGAGCATGCCATGAGCAAGGTAAGAGTTGTATTACATATGCTTAATTAAATATTGGAGTGGAATACAAAAGGGCCATTTTTGTTTATTAAAGAGTCTTTTTGGTTGGCTAATCTAGAGTTTTCAAATTGACCTTTTAATTCAGCAAGGTGAATGGAAGTCCTTAGGCTCATAGATTGGAAAGAAATTCATCTAGTATTTCCCCCTTTTTTTAGAAGTGAGGCTGTAGGTTAGCCCAGAAAAGTAAGGGACTTATCCAAGGTCACATAAGGAATAAGTGGCAGAATGAAGATTCAAACCTAGATCTTCTGACTCCAGATATGCTTTTTCTACTGCACCACATGGCCTTTCATGTTCTTAGGTATTATGATTTGGTCTATGAAAACAAGGTCTGAAGACTATTCTTTTGCAACAGTATGAATTTTCTAAACCCAGTTTGGCCATCATTGTCTCTTTTTACTTTTAGAAGCAAACTTTTACTTTAGGAGCAAACTGGAATAGCACTGAAACTGCTTTTATATTATTAATCCTATAGTCAAGAATGAAACTATTTGAAGGTAATAGAGATTATTAACCCTGCAGTCAGGAGTTAACTTTTTTCCCACTGTTCTGTAGAGACCTTGATGGCTCCCTGTATGCAGGCACCTGGCTTTAAGTATTGTCTAAATAAATATTGATGCCATGTTAAGCTTATCTTGCCTTGTAAAACAGAAAACTGTAGCCATGGGGTATCAGGACCTGCAGGACACTTAATGGCATGTTAAAACTTCCTTTAGGAATCCTAACATCTATCAAGAACTTAGAGGCAGGGGGATGAGAGAGAGATGATATGGTCCAGCTAGCTTAGTATCTATCTCCTTTCAACCCTATAAATTTAAAGAGCAAATGAGAAAGGAGGTTCTACTATCATAATTTGCAATCATATGATATAAAAGAAACTCTGAACCTTGCTATAACTGTCCTTTGCTCAGGGAATGTCCTGGTCCTGGTTGTATGTCTCTTTTCAGGTTAACTCTGTTTTGGAGTCTGTTTTTTGCTAACTCACCATAGTAGTTGTTCATTTAAGATAACTTAAAGCAGTTTTGTTACATGTATGCACTAAATCTACTAGCTTAGAACCTTTTTCCTTCTCTGTACCCATTTAGTAAGGCTGATCTTGGATAATTATGAACAGGTAAAGTGTATTTAGGTCCATTGACTGTGCTTAGAGGCCTTGTCTAATCCTCTCATTTTACAGATGAGGAAACAGTCCCAGAGGGATTAAGTGACTTCCCCAGGTCCTTTGATTCCAAATGTGATGTTCTTTCTATTATACCACATTGTAACTCAAGGAGGAAGTTGAAATAAATGAAAGAAGTAAAAAGGCTAACTATGTGATTGGAAACCAGAACCAGATTTGCTCCTCAGTGGAAAAATAGGTCAATTATGATCAAGGAGGATCTTGCTTTTTTTTTTTTAAGCCAATTGGGGTTAAGTGACTTACCCAGGGTCATTTGGCTAGTGTCAAGTGTTTGGTCTGAGATTGGATTTGAACTCAGGTCCTCCTGACTTCAGGGCCAGTGCTCTATTCACTGCGCCACCTAGCTGCCACCCAAGGATATTGCTTTTTGCTGTAATATTATTGTTTTGACTCCATGTTGGGGAGAATATGAAACAGAATCCTCTAACACACATTGGCCTGAAAACACTGCATATTATTTAATAGATTGAGAAACAGAGGTTGCTGAATATTTCCTGTTGTTCCTGGGTACTTTCCAATGATTGAATTTCTTCAAACCACAGAATCTCATCATGTTATTATTGGAAGGAACTTTAGAGATTAGACAATCCAACTCCTCATCCATAGCTGAAGAAACTGAGTCCAGGGAGAGGAAATGACTTGCATAAGGCTTTTTATCCAGCTCGTGTGGAGTCAGGAATGGGAGTCAGTGCTGTTGATTCTCTTGTGTTGAGTGAAATATGTTTACATTGGGGCAGCTAGGTGGCACAGTGGATAGAGCACCGGCCCTGAAGTCAGGACGACCTGAGTTCAAATCCGGCCTCAGACCAAACACTTGACACTTACTAGCTGTGACCCTGGGCAAGTCACTTAACCTCAAGTGCCTTTTAAAAAAAAGAAATATGTTTACATGGAGTTTATGAAAGCTTCAATTCAGAGCTCATCTGTTTGAGGCTTGGGAGAGGACCCATGATGGCCTTTAACATTGCCATTATCATTCTGTGGTGTCTTCTGAGATTTGACATTCTTACATGACTATTAACTGTTCTTATCTTTTCAGTGGTGGTTGGACTGAATGATATTCAGGATGTGAATGTCATAGAGGAGAAAGTTCGATATTTTGGGAAGGGCTATACAGTGGTACTTCGGTTTGCAACAGGTTTTTCCCATCCTCTTACCCAGAGTGCAGTGATGGGTCATCGGAGGTAAGACAACAGTGTCTTGGGAATGAGGTGTAGCTAGGGGCAAGTGGTGAACTTCACTCCCATTGTCAGTGACATTTAGGTCATATTTGTGTCTACAGCAGCTTAGAACTTGTTTTATTTTGGATCTTCCTTCAAGTTACTGACATAGTTGTTCCATTGTCTCTAATTCTATTTGGGTCATTAGCACCCACATCCTAGGATTATAGGACTTAGAGTTGGAGGGAACTTTAGTCACCATTTAGTTTCAAACACCTGATTTTACATATTATAAATAATTGAAGGTTCATAGAGAGAAGGTGACTTTGGTGAAGGTCACACAGTAAATAACTGAACGAGCATCTGAATCTAGATTCTTTGACCCCAAATATGATTCTCTTTTAAATATACCACACTACTCTGTTTAAAATCATGGTTGCTGGTAATACCTAGACTTTCTAGCTGCCCCTGAATCATTTTTTTTTTTGTGCTTTGTAATTCATTCCAACGGGTGTGCCTTTTGGATCCCACCCGGGATAGACTCTACTGAGAAAGGGTAGTATCAGAATAGCTTTTTTCCTTGGGGCTTTCCATTAGGTGATTTCTTGTTACTACTTTTTGAATCCCTGAGGAGTAGAATGAAAACAAGGACAACTGTCACCATTTTACAGACAAGGAAACTGAAGGCCAAGCAATAGAGACATCTGGATCAAGTAGACCAAATTGGCCTCAGGTTAGGCATATACAGTCCTTCATTTGGGCAAAGAAACTGAGAAAGATGAAGGACTTAAGCATAGCTTTGTATAAGAGCCAAAGGCTTGGCACTGCCTATGGTAACAGAAACCTGCATTTCATAATGAAGCTTCAGTGAAGCTGTGTTGAAAGCTAAATCAGAGTGTGGTTATACAATCAACTCTAAAGCTGTCATCTTCCTGGGTGATTTCAAGTCAAATATGCTTTTTATGTTCCCTCAAACAACCTTTTGACTCTTTAGGGCCTGTGTTGAGGTGGGCAATAAGGTGTTCTGGGTCAAGAGAGATGTTGAAAGTGACTCTGTTCCACTTCATGATTCCTTTATCATTGCAAAACTTTTATTCCTTGAGGCAGGTCCTAGCATTGACCTGCAGTGATCCTCAAGTTGGCACACAAAGTATTTGTTTCTAAACTATTCTAAAAAGGAAGAAATCAATAGGTAGTGGTACCTGATTTCCTTTGAGGTTCACTTTTGGCTATAACCTTCCTGTCAAATAACTCATAGATTGAAAGAACCTTTTTATCTGAAAAATTTACTGTCTTAGAAGTCCAAAAGGCTTCATAGCTAGTTTTGGCTCATACTATATCCTCTTTCCTTTCTTATGTGTGGGGAAACTGAAGCACAGGTTAGCAGAGTGACTTGTCCAAAGTCACACAGCCTGTAGCAGGACCATCAGCATTTCCACCCTCAAAGTTTGCCTACTTTCTGAGGGTATTATTTATGGTAATGTTAATCCCACACATTGAGGCAAGGGGAGGTAAGAAAGGGAGCAGAATAGAATGAAAGAGAGATGGATTGTTGGAGGAATTGGGGGTGAAGAATGAATCTGCTGCTTCAGTTTTCCTGGGCTGTTATGTATGTGTGTAAAGGATTTGGGGATGGGCTTATGTACTTTGGTATAACTTGAATTCTTCCCCTTCCATCTTCCCACTCCTTATCTCAGTGACGTGGAGGTAATTGCCAAGCTTATCACCAACTTTCTGGAGCTGCACCAGCCAGAGAGCCCTAAAGACTTGTCCCAAAGCAGCGACACTGAGACCAGTGATGTGGATGACCCCAGGCAGCAGAACTAAGTTTGACAGGGTGGCCTAAGCCACTGAGTCTGGCTGCCCTATTCTTCCTGAAGCTTTTGATACTTCCTTCCTCCCTTTTCCCAGAGCTTGCTTGGCTCCATTGATGTGAGCTGCTAACAGAGGGATCTACGTTTTCTTTCTGCTTCTCTGACCAGATTGGATCTTCAACCATATGGCCATTTGTTGAGTTCGTCCCTTCCTTCCTATTTGTTGTGTAGTCACAGAACTTAAAGGGACCTTAGAGACTATCCAGCCCTCTCACTTTACAGAGGAGGAAGCTGAGGCTGAGAAAGGGGAAGTGACTTTCCTTGCATTATACAGCTTAATAAATGGAAGAGCTGGGACATGAACTACATCATATATAACTCCATTGTTCTTTCCTCTATACCATGTTGCCTTATGCCACTCTCGGGAGTGGGAGATTAGGCTGACATGTCTTCTCAGCTTTCCTTACCTAGAGTATCTGGAGAGGTCTGGGCAAGAAGGCTCTTTTGAGATTTTGCTTCAGAGATGAGAAGCATGAAGAAGTACAAAATGAAAGGACTTGAGAGGAATGAGATTCGGGGAGGAATGTGAATGTCAACCATTTGGAGTTACTTCTGCTGATATCCATGGGTCCATGGATAGATTTCATGGGACATTTGAACTTAGATGGGGAAGAAAAAAAATTACATATCTATTTTCACTAACTGCTAATTGAAATTTAGCATTTCTTTCAATTATGAAGTTTTAAAAAACCCCAGTATTCTAAGAAGGGAGTCCATACTGCATACTTCACCATACTGTCAATGAAGTCCATGACACAAAAATACTTGAGAACTGGTCTAGAGGCATTTGAATGTACTTAAAATCACATCTACAAAAATTGCTGCCTTATTATGGGACCAAGTGAGGCAGCTGGTAACTTTGGTTGTTAAATATTTAATTGCTTCTATGAAATTTTAGAGAGCTGATAGCCCCAGCTCTTCAAAGAGGGGCTTGAAGTGATTATATGGCCATTGCCAGTTGGAGAGTCTGTTCTTTGTGTACCTTTTAAATGTTTTGTCTCTGGAAATCATTAGGAAGTCAAATCTTATCCCAGCCTTCTCAAAAAAATTCTCCCCAACTGGGGAGTACAACTGTACAAGTGCTTAAATTAAAGGGTCTTATGAGATGCCAGAAGTCCTAGCTTTATACCAGCCATAGATAATGAAACCCTGCAAATGAATTGAATAGGCCAACTGAGAAATAAGATCTCTTTATACCTCCAGCTCAGGTTCCACCTCACTAAAGAGGCTGAAGTGAGTTTTGGGTGGGTATATGAAGCAGCAGAGTGTGCCTAACTGTAGAACTAGGTATGTTTTGGGGGTTATGAGTAAATGAGGAAGTTCTCTAGAGATCTCAAGGTGTTTTCTTTCATATTCTTAACAGCAACTGCCCTTTTTTAACCAGCCTATCTTTCTTCTGTCTATGGTGAACCAAAAGGATAGAATATATACTGGAGCTTGCAACACACGTCTTGTGAGGGGCCTCCTTATTGCATCCAGCTCCAATTTATTATAAATAGACTTCACAGGTGGGTTATTGTGTAGAATCCTTCCTGTTAGATGTGTGCCCAATAGGGAGACACTGGCTGCTGGTTGCATGTTTAAGTATATTCGAGAAGTCTCAGGTCATTTTGAGATCTGTTTTTGCCAACTGTAAAATATGAAGTCAGAGAAAGTAACCTTCCTTCACTCTTCCTTTTACTTCTTGGGCTGCAAAACTACAAGGCTTATGAAATGAGTTTTTAACCAAAGAAATATTACTGTTAGTCCAGAGGGGAAGCCATTTTAAATAAATGGCAGAGAAATAGCTCTTCGTTAACTCATGTCAGGTTCTAGAGATTTCGTTCCCCAAGTTACCTTTTTTACTTTCACCTTTTCTAAGCTATTTGGGGAAACTTGTATGCGGGATAGAAGTCTTTGGCCAGTGGGCCCAAGCCCAGAAAAACTGGATGAATTGTAGGCCATGAGACTGGTGGCTTCTGAGAATAGGGTTTGAAAATTCAGTTCCTGAACTGGCATAAATTCAGACCATGCTCATGAGACCTGGCCTGTTTTCTTGCATGTTGTGATGCCTTAATAGCCATAATTCCTCTGACTTGGCAGGACTGGGGCATCTGCTCTACAGCTACTTTGGCTCAGTACTACATTTTTTTCTTCAGAAAAGGGTATGTGTGCTTCTGTGTCAGGGCAGATTAATACAGATTAAGTCCTATGTAACATAAATTGGCTTCACTCTTTACATAGCAGCATAGAAACCTTCTGTAATTTGCCTTTGGATGATTCTCTTAAGAAAGGAGTAACTCAGCTAATGGGATTCTCTTTTCCTGCATTCTCTTTCCTAAAGAGTAAAGAAAGCCCAGTTTTAGCTACAAAGATGTGCCTGTCTAGAACCTTGGTAATTTGTTGTCCTTTCTAATCTCAGCATCTTCACTCCCTTGTGACTCAGTGGCTAGATGTCTAGCTCCCACAGAAAACAGGTGTGGGGAGGAATCTTGGAAGTCATCAGATTTCTTTGTGAGAACTCTGAAGACCTAGTAGGTTGTTGGCTTAACACAATGGGTTTTAGTTTTCTATCCATCCCTGCCCCACTAGTTTCAGCATTATTTTATGTTTGAGGGTTAGAACTTTGCCAGCTACCATGTCTTAACAATCAGCTGCTAAACTGAAACACCACTAGGTAGGCGAGACTCACTGCCCATTTCATTCTGGATATTCATAGCAGATTTCACATGTGGCAGGAATTAGTTTCTAGAACTGAAGAAAATGCACTGGGTGTGCTAGATACCTAACACATTACTGCATGTGGGATGAAACACCTATTCCCCTAAAGTGAAAGATGGATTGTGTAGACTGAAGGTTGAGTTTGGGTGGATCCATCACATCTGTGTAGTCACATAAAGAGGTCATTACTTGTGTGAGAGACTGAGAGCTGTTCTATTCTGTGGCCACAGTTGAACCAGTTAATTTGTTTCCTGGTCATAAGGTACAGTGAGAATATGAGTATCAGGGCATAGCCAGTTTCTGGTGAAATGGCTGAAGATGAAGTGAATTAGGCTTTCAACTTACATTTTACTAGTCAATCAAAATAGGTGAAATCCAAAAAATTTTGAAAGCTTCTTTTTAGTCATTTAACTCGTAACAATTAGCCTTTTTGCCATAGTGGCCTGCACATACTCATGTTAAATGCTCTTTGTAATTGACCATGCAAGGTAGATAGTAAGAGAAAGACAAAGAACTTTTTTCTTCCATAAGCTGGATAATTAGTCCCTAATTGGGGCTTGACAGTGACTACCTTCCTAGATGAATCCCTCGTTCAGATAAATGCCATGGGCTCTGCCATTGTACGCATCTTGGTGAACTTGGTCCTGACACTGATTCTGTGAATTAATTATTCATTGATTTACCTCGAAACACACAGAACCGGTGGGTTTACCTCTGTACCTGAAGCTCTCATTGGAATTTCTTTTTGTTGTCTAGTGCTGAAGGCTGATGGTTATTTTGGGGGCTTTTAGAAGAATATATTTCTTGAATAATTTTCAAATTTTCCTGTAAGCCTGATATTTCTTAAGGCATGTGGAAAAGTCACAGGAATTACCTCACACTTCAGGACCCCCTATCCCTAGGACCCTCCCTTCCTCTTATTAGAGAGAGTGGGAGGTGGGCTTCTGGGAGCTCTGTGCAGATCCTCCACCATTTAAGGAGGGCACTCTGGGCATTTTCCTTATCATTTTCCACCTAGCTGCTTTCCTGGACTTCATCATCTCCAGAAACTCATTCTGCAAGATGAAACTGACCCAGAAACTTATACCTTCTCAGATCATCTTTCCATCCCAGCTGCATGATATTACTGTACTAGGCCATTCCTCCTTCCACATTCTGCTTGTTATGTGTATTCTCCCCCATTAGACTGTGAGCTCCTTGAGGGCAATGAGTATTATGCCTTTCTTTGTATCCTATGCTTAGCACAATGCCTGGTGCATAATAAATGTTTATTGACTTTGAATTATAAATCTTTCAACCATATCGTGGCATTTCTGTATGATTACTGTAGTTATACTTTCTTAACCTTCATTAGTTTTCTTTCTCAGTTAAGCAGACTGTGTCTTGTTGCTACTGAAACACAGAAGGATTTATGCTTGACCAGGTGTGCTTTTGCATGGCAATGACAAAAAAGGTATTGGTGTTACACACATTCTCATGTCATTCAGTGAAACTCTCAAATTGTGTGTGTAGCTTCCTGGTGTTGCAGAGTTCCTTTCAGCTCTTAGTTTTTCTGCAGTAACAGAACACTGGGGGTGGGTGTTTGGGGTTGGCTTCTTTGTTTCTGAAGCAATCAAGTGGCCAGTAGAGTTCAAACTAACAAGTTTGTGGAAGTCTACTGGCTCTATTTCAACATCTACCCAGGAATATTAATCATTCTTGGTTGGGGAGAAAAGGTAGATTGTATTTAAAAAACACAGCTGCTGGAGCTTTTCCAGTGTTATAAAGGAAGTAGTTGTCAGTGAACCATTCCTTCTGAATGTGGCTGAGAAATCTTCCATCTCTGTTTCTGTTCCTACAAATTCTTTCACTCAGTTAACTGGGCTTCCATTCAAACATTCTCGAAGTCTAGCTTAGGCACTCACATACTCACATTATATGATTACCATTTACAGTTTCTTAATTTCCCTCCCCAGATATATTTTTCCCCAAAAGCTGACCTCAAAGGATCACAGAATTTCTTGGATTTGAAGAGACCTTAGAGATCATGTAGTTCAATGTGTTACCTGAACAGGAATCCTTTCTACAAGATCTCTTAAGAGACAGAGTCTTCTGTTTGGAAATCTTGTATGGGAGCAAGCAATCCAAACTAATGTAAGCAACCTCTTTCATTTTCGGACTCCTCTGTCAGGAAGGTTTTCCTTATATTGAGGTAATGTCTACATCTATACAACTTCTACCTATTGCTTCTAATTCTGCCTCCTGGAACCAAAAAGAATAAATCTTACATGTAACAGGCTTTTAAATACTTGACAATAGCTAGCTATCACACCCCCTTAAGTCATCTCCAGGCTAAATACCCCTGGTTCCATCAAATCCCTGTATGGTATATATATAGTCTTCAGTCTCTTCAACATTTACGGTTACCCCCCTATGAAGGCACTATAGCTTGCTGACGCCTCATTTAAATTGGTGTACAGAACTGCACACAATATTTCCAGTGTGAACACTTTAGTGCCTCTAAAAAGATTCTATACTAACTCCCCAGTGCCTTTTAAAGCAGGTAACTAAAGATTAGCAACTTCTGTGATGTCATACCAAAACCTGTAGCAAAATGGGAATAGGTGATAGTTTTTCAAGAATGATAGTAAGGAGGTGGTGGCAAGTCTTTCCCCCTTCCAAAAACACCCAAAACACAAACAACCCAACCCAACCTAAACACTTGTGTGAGGAGGGAATCCAACAGCGATTTCCCATGCAACAGGATGGAATGAGAAGACAGCAATCCTTTTGAACTCATTCCCCACTTCCCCCCAAGTACCAAGACATATTCAGAGCTCGTCTAGTCTGGAGGTATTTAACACGCAGTCTGCTGGCCACAAGATCTAGCAAAGCAAAACTTGAATGCAACTGAACTAGATTAAACTGTAATTGTTTAACAAAATAAAAACATAGTATCACAGTTAATGTGTGATTTTTGAAGCCAATATAGCCTACTGAGAACTTTCTATTTTAGTTTGGCACTACTGATCTAGTCCAATCAATAGCCGAACAGGAGTTTCCTCTCTAATATTCCTGACAAGTGGTACTCATCCAGCTGCCCTGAACTGGAAGACCTTTGGTAATGGAAGACCCCAATGGAAAGAGCCCATTCTGCTTTTGGAAAGTTCTAATTGCTGGCAGGTCTTTTCTTTAGATCTAGCTAAAATTTGCCTCTGCAATTTCTATACATTCATTGTTTCTAGTTCTGTGTTATCATTCCCCTGCTTCTGGAGGCTCAGTCTTCTCACTATCCTGATCATTCTTCTCTGGTAATATTCTGACACTTAATAGGTAAGAGGATAGAATATACTCCAAAATATTCTAGGATGAAATTGGAGTGGTAAGGGGCCTCCAAAACAAATCTTATACAATTTACAATTTTGCCTAGGGTCTGAGAGTGTCACTGAAGTAAAAAATCTTAACTGTAAATTTTGGACTCCTTGTATATAGGATAAAGTCTAAACTCCTGGAGGACAAGGTCTTAAATTCTTTATATTCCATCAGTGGATAACTGTAGTATAGAAACAGTGGTTTCTGCATAGTAGTAACTTGATTATAAAACTATCACCAAAGCCACAGGTACTTAACCTTCTGTGTAGCTTCAGTATAAATGAGTACCAGGGTCTAGTCTAGGACCAAGCAAGCTACAGGCTAGATGAGAAGGGGATGCTTATTTCAGAGTGATGGACTGTTCTTTGTTCCTGTCCTTAATCCAGCTGTGGTTTTAACAAGCTGCTTCACTGTAAATAGCCCTGAACATCAAGGGGGCCAAGTATAGATAGAAGAGAAAACAAGTCTTAAGAATAATTTCTAGCAATAAGAGTGCTTATTCCATTACATTAAGAGCAATAGGCAGAATAACAGTTTTTCTCTTTAAGCAGTAAATTGTGATCAGTATTAACTGTAACCTATACATTTTCTTTTACTTCTTCAAATTCCTTCTATTGATTATAGTTTTTACTGTGCTGTTGTCAGTAGAGGAAGTATTTAAACTTTCTGCATTTGTTTTTGTAAAGGTGCCATGTAGTAGTGGAGAAATATTCCTTTCTATTCCCATCCATTAATCACCAGGTATCTGTCATATCTGATTTTTCAATTTTTTTTTAGGGTCTTTCTTGTTTAGTTTGTCTATTTCACTCTACAGTTCAATTATTTTTTCTTTCAAGTATTTCATGCTCTTTTTGTGCATATATTTCAGTATTAACATTATTTATAGTGACTTCAAGTATAATGTAATTTCCCTTCTTATCTTTTTTGCTTTTTTACTTTTACTACCTTTTTACTGCTGCCTTGTGGAATATTATGATTGCCACTTCTAATTTTTTGGATTCACTTATGGCATGATAAATTCTGCTTCATCCTCTCACGGTAATAGCTTTTAACACAAGATCCAGTATCACGCCTTCACCCCTCAATGTCTCTTTTTAGATTCTGTCCTAGCATCACATTTTTCAATCATACCCATAGGAACCCTCCCAACCCTGCCCCCCTTTCCTCAGCACTGCTTTCATGTAGCAAAGGAGTGGTCTTGGCCATCTGTAACAATCCCCACTGGGTTAGCAGTGGGTAAACCTTCTTTGTAAGATGGGTCACTTCCATGGCAAAAGTTCTAAGACTGAGCTGCTATTGCTGCATCCAGATCTTGCAACAGCTGCTGTAGCTTCTGGATGGTGGGATGGGTGTTTTCTTCCAGCCACTCCTCTACTGCATCTGGGTAGAAAATTCTTTCAAGTGCTGCTTGCAGCTCCTGGATGACAGCATTCCACCTGGTTAGGAGACTGAAGAGAAATGGAAAAGGTTAACTATGCACCTGACACCTGACTCATTAAAAACATGAAATACTACGGGAAAATAAATAGCCTTTTTTTTTTTTGGTAAGGCAACTGGGGTTAAGTGACTTGCCCAGAATCACACAGTGTGTGTTATGTTTCGGAGGCCGAATGTGAACTCAGATCTTCCTGACTCCAGGACCGGTGCTGTATTCACTGCGCCACCTAGTGGCCCCTGGAAAATAGCCTTTTAAAAGGTTGTCAAGAAATAAAGTGAGAAGCATCTGGAGCTGTTAGTGTCTAGTACAGCGAAGTAAAAATGAATGAATTCATCTAAAGAGTCTTATCAGGTCTCTGAGTTTAAATTTTGGTTCAATGGCAATTTTAGCACAAAGTTGGGTGATGAGTCTGGCAAGGGAGCTGGCACCACTACCTTATGGCATCTGGCTGGATGTACTGGATCATAACTGGGTGAATCATCTTCCTCTTACGATGGTAAGGGCTAAACCAGCCTGTCACATACCTGTAAATAAATGCACTAGGGTTGTACTCGAGAGTCATGTGTTTATTATCCAATGGCTTATCTCAGGACATCTGATTTGTGCATCTATGTTTTGTTCCCCAAATAGATTGGGTACAGTGAAGGAAGGAAGCAGAATTCATTTATTTGGATTTGTTCTACACTCAATATTTGCTTGTTAATAACGAACCTGTTTCTTTCTAGCAGTTCATCCACAGAGTGCCTTAGGTGAAAGCTGACCTGAGTGATCAGGGCGAAGACATCACTGCCAGGGAAAGTCCCAAAGTTTTCACTAGTCAGAGAGAAAATCTTCATCAATTTCAGAACTATCAAGAGTTCAGGGCTATGAGATAATGGAGTAAGAATGATATTAGTAGGAATTGGTGGTTTTACCTCATAAAACTGTTGATTTCCAAATCCGACATCCCTAGATACTTCTCCACTATTTTTTTAACATGGTCAGTATAACCTCCTGAAAAAGAAGCATTTTCTTTAGTAAAGGGAAGAGAAAGAAGTAAGGGAGAAGCTCTTATGCAAGAGTATGCAGAGAAAGCTCCTATTTTAGGATAACTTATTCATGTTTATTGGCTTGGTTGGGAAAGCTGTTAACTCTTTGCTCAGAACTGGGGACATGAGAGAAAGCTTTGGTCAGTTTTTTGGGAGCAACTCTCAATCAGGTAATTCCTCTCTCCTTTGCTCCCCTCTAAGAAAACTATCTTGATATTTCAGGCCCCTTTCTCAAGGGCTATTTCCTACTAGTGGAATTTGTTTTAATTTCTTGGACTACAGGCCTCCAAAGATCTGGCCTTAGCTCACAAGCCTAGTGACAAGATCTAATCTAGTGACATGAACTGAAATTCAACCAGTATAAGTCTTGGTGAGATTCTTTTCCCCCCTCCTTTTGAAAGGCAGCACAGTTGCTTAGCACTTATGAAACTGTCCCACAATCTCACCCCCAAACTCAAGCAGACTTTCCAATTTAGAGTAACTCCCTTCATGAAGAATTCAGGGTAGTGGGGTAGCTATGTATTTCTTATATGAAAAGGGAAGGTCTAGGTGTGTGTGGGAAGCACTCCAACATGGCAGAGTGACTGCACACACAGCTCCTCTGTATTCCTGGGAGGAAAAAAACACCCCCAAAAATGGATTCTAGGAAAATCCTGGGGTTTGTACTTTAGGAAAACAAGGAAAGTAATACACTACCGTTTTTGAGTGCTTGCAGACATACTGCTAAGGATGGGATTCCCATAGGAAGCAGCTCACAGAGAACAGAGAAGTGGTCATACCTGGAATCCACCAAAGGAAGAAACATTTTTTAATAATGGGAGGGAACTACGGGAGGAATCTTACCTTTTGCCCCTTTGCTCAGGACATTAGCCTCATTCTATCTCTACTTAACTAAGAACCCAGCCTGGGGTCTGTGGTCAGCCACTTCATTAACATCTTAGACTTTCTTGTCCTCTTGATTTTTTTGCCCTGTCTGCCATTATAGTCCCTGGTCTGGGGTCACTTTCCCTCCCCCCCCACCCATCTTTTCTGATCCTGTTCTGTGGCTTCATATTTTTACAGGAGAAAATTACAGAAGTGTGCTCACTGGGCTCACTACAAATGTTTTTATTTCTAACTTCCTGATTCCCCAATATTGCAGATATTTTAATCCTTTCCTCATCAGTTCTCCCGCTCAGTAGATAAATTCACTTCTTATTTTACTGAGACAATTAAATGCAGAATTCCTACCACCTTGCTTTGTCTTAAAATATTTATTACCTACTACTCCCTTCCTTTCCTCCTCTCAGAAAAGTGTGGTCTTCATTTTCAAATTTCACTACTCCATCTATGGCCTTGAACCCCTCCTCTTCCCTCCTTATAAAAGTTGCTCTGTTAATTACTTTGTGGGGTCTCTTTACATTCTGCCTCTCCATTATCTCTCTGCCTGCTAACCAGTATCTTCAGATTTCTTCTATCTTGGAAACAACAACAACAACAACAAAAATGACTTCAATTTGCTACAACCCTGTCACCTTCCTTTCCCACCTAAGTTCTGGAAGGACTGATCTTTGCTCACTGATCGATTTTCTTGGTCTTCCTCAATCCCCTGAAATCTAGCTTCCTTGGCTTCTCTCTACTCACTGCTCTTGGATTTTCAGGCCTTCTCCTTAACCTGTTTATGACATGACACTTCTCACTACTTTTTCCCTTTTGAAACTGATTTCTGTCTGAGACAATTCACTCTCCTGATTGTTTTACTTCTGTTCTTTTTTTAGTTTCCCTTCTCTTGCACAGGGCAGCTAGGTGGCACAGTGGATAGAGTGCTGGGCCTGGAGTCAGGAAGATCTGAGTTCAAATTCTGCTTTATCAACACTAGCTGTGTGACCCTAACTCTGTTTGTCTCAGTTTCCTCTTCTGTAAAATGAGCTGGAGAAGGAAATGGCAAACTACTCCAGTACCTTTGCCAAGAAAATCTCAAATGGAGTCACAGAGTTGGACACAAATGAACAATAAAAATTTCTTCTCGCAGCTCATATGTGCAAACTTAAAGTTCATCTACTCCTCTGACTTCTGTATTTTGTCCTTCAGAGATCTTATCCCCTCCCACTGCTTTAGCTAACAGCTCTACAAGAATCTACATCTCCATCCCTGATCTCTATTCTGAGTTCCAGCCCCATACATCCAATGATCTGCTAATCATTTGCACTAGGAAGAGTGATAAGCATAGTAAAATATCACCTAAAAATTCAATGTGTCTCCTCACTAAAATCAGTTCCCTTTCCAGGTTTCTCTATTTCTATATGTGATATAATTATTCTCCACATTACCCAAGCTTGAAACATTGCACTCACTAGATGTGGCTTCCCCCTGATGACACAGACTCCCTGGCCACCCTTGCTTGCCCTGGCTGCACCTTCACTCATTTCCCTTGATTAGGGTCTGGTCAAGGTGGTGGAGTTGAATACTCCTTCATCACTAGGTAAACTCTCCTCCTTTGAGGTCCACATAATCTACATCTACCATCCAATTAAAATCTTGGTAGTTGTTATCTACAGACCTCCAGGACACCCCCCTTCCTTCTCGACGAATTTAGTACCTGGCTCACAACCATTCTCCTCCCCAACTCCTGCCCTCACACTAGGGAATTTCAACATACATACTGATACTTCCTTAGATACCCTAACCTCCTAGTTCTCAGCTTACTCATTCCCATGACCAACTCCTCCATCCTACCTCATGGAAACACAAACATGGTTATACCCTTGGATCTTGCCATCACCCACAAATGTACCACCTCCATGTTAATAAACTCTGAAATTTCCTTATCTGATCACTCTACTGACTATCTCTCCCTCTGCCCTCCCATATTGAACCCTACTATTTGTCTACACCTTGACTTCTAAACCTTTGACCCCTCAGTTGTCTCACAAGCCATTTCCCTTGCATTAGCTATTCTTTTTTTCCCTTCCCCATCTTCATCACATGGTGAACCAGGTCAGCTCTATAATCCTTTTCTCTTGAAAAGGAATGCCCCTATATCATATTGCTGATTGTGCCCTGCTGAGCCTCAGTCTTACATCACTCCACTATCTGCTGACTCTGCTTGTACACATGTTCTGCTGAACAAAAACTGAGAAAATCATGAAACTGTTCTGACTGGGGTCTACTACAAATTTATGTCACACAACCTTCACAGGGCCCACACTGCTGCTAGGCAATCCTACACATCCCTAATCAACTCACCATCCCACTCACCACATTACCTCTTCCAAACCTTTTAATTCCTCCCGTGGCTCTTCTGCCCCTGCCCCTCAGCTGTGAAACTTGCTTCATATTTTATTGAAAAAATTTAGGCCATTAGCTGAAAGCTCCCACCCCTCCCCATCTCACATTACTCTGATGCTTTCTGTCACTATGGTCCCCTTTACTCTTATCTCGTATGAAGAGGCGGCTATTCTCCTTGCCCAGGCAAATCCCTCGGCACAAGTGATCCCATTCTATCCCATCTCCTTTAGTATAATATTCCCTCTATCATCCCCAATCTCACTTATTTTCAATCTCTCCCTCTCTACTGGCTGCCTAATATCTATAAACATGCCCATATCTCTTTCCTCAAAAAACCCTCACTTGGTCCTAACCATCCTAATTATTATTCTGTGTATCTCCTGCCTTTTGTGGCTAAACTTGAAAAGGCCATCTATAATAGGTGCCTCTACTTCCTCTCACTCACTTCTTAACCCCTTATAATCCAGCTTCTTACCTCATCATTGCACCAAAACTGCTCTTTCCACAGTTACCAATGATCTCTTACTTGCTGATTACTCTCTTCTCCTTGATTCTCTTTTCTCTCTAAGTTCTCAGAACACTACTCTCTCCTGGTTTTTCTCTTATCTGTCTGGCTACTCCTCAGTCTCCTTTGCTGGATAAGGGCTCTGTCCTGGGCCCTCTTCTTTCTCTATACTATATATCATCTTGTCAGCTCCCTTGGTTTTAATTACCATCTCTCTGCTGATAATTCCTATATTTATTTATCCAGCCCTAACACCTCTGCTGACCTCTAGTCTTGTGTTGTTAATTACTTGTTAGATATCTCAAATTGGATATCTGGTAGATATCTTAGGTTCAACATGTCCAAAACTGAACTCATTATGTTTTCCCCCAAACCTTCCCCACTTCCAATCTTCCCAATTACTACTGAGGCCACCAGCATCTTCCCAATCCCTCAGGGTAGCAACCTAGGTGTCACTCTCAACTCCTCTACCTCTCACCCACCATATACAATCTGTTGCTAAGACCTTTTCACTCTTGCAACATTTCTTGCATATGCCCCCTTCTCTCAGGGATAGCTGCTGAAACAGCAGAAGAGTGCCAGGCCAGGGGTCAGAAAAACCTAAGGTCAAATCCAGCCTCAGACACTTATTAACTGTGTCACCCTGGGCAAGTCACTTCACCTATGTCTGCCTCAGTTTTCTCAATTATAAAATGGGGATAATAATAGCACCTTCAAGATAGGTTATGATCAAATGAGATAACATTTGTAAAAAATGCTTAGCACAGTGCCTGGCCCATTCCCTTTCCCTTCCCTTTCTTCCTCTGATAATGCTATCACTCTCATCCAGGCCCTCATCTTCTCAAGCCTGGACTACTGCAATAGTGTGCTGGTTGGTCTGCCTGCCACAAGTCTCTCCTTACTCCAGTCTATTCTCCATTTATCTTTTTTAAGTGCAGATCCAACTATGCCACTCCCCTACTTAATAAATTCCAGTGGCTCCCTATCACTCCCAGGATTAAATGTAAAACCCTGTTTGGTGTTCAACGTCCTTAATAACCCAACCCCTTCCTACTCCTTCCCTTCTTACAACTTACATGTCAGATGCAGTCATGTGGATAGAACACTAGATCTGGAGTCAGGTAAACCTGAGTTCAAATATGACTTCAGACACTAGCTGTGTGAACCTGGGCAAATCATTTAACCTCTGTTTGCCTCAATTTCCTCAACTATAAAAATGGGGATAATAATAGCACCTACCTCATGGGGTTGTTGTGAGGAACAACTGAGATAATATTTATAAAGTGCTTAGCACAGTGTTTGGCACATAGGCACTAGAGAAATGATTATTCTTTTCCTTCCTGTCTCTCCCCCCCCCGCCCCCCACATAGTCTTAGAGCCAGTGACACTGGCCTCCTCACTGTTCCTTGAGCCCTCTCTTCTCTTTGGACATTTCACTCTACTCTTCATCCTAATCTCCTGACTTCCTTCAATTCCCAGGTAAAATCCCACTTTCTACAGGTAGCCTTTCCCAATCCTCCTTAATATTAGTGCTTCTGGAAAAATAAAAAAAATTAGTGCTTCCACTGTTGCTTATTTCCCATTTTTCTTGTACATAGCTTCTTTGTATGTAGTTGCTTGCAGAGTTATTTACATATTGTCTTCCCCAGAAGATTGCTGGCTTGTCAAGAGCAGGGACTGTTTTTGCCTTTCTTTGTATCCTGAGTGTTTAGCACAGTGCCTAGCATGTAGGTGCTTAACAAATGCTGACTCACAATCATCTTTGACTCCTTCATCTTTCACATGAGATTTTTTTCCATTCCCATACACAACTACTGTAGTTCAGGTCCTCAATGGATCTTGGTCTACTGCTGTGGTCTCTGAATCAATCTCTCTGCCTCTATCCCTTATCTATTCTGAACACTATTACAAGATAAATCTTCCTAAACTGCTACTCTTTGTTATGTCATGCCTTAAAAGCCTTCAATTGTTCCCCATTGCCTACAGAAATAAGGTACAAACTCTTCA